CATAAAAACTTTCACTTCAATACACAAATTAACGTGATTTTGATACTTGGCTAACAGATAATATTGATGATTTTCAGGCGCTGAATTTGGATTACATGCCTTTTAATCTGCTGTTATTGCCTCCAACCTTGCTTTTACTTGTTTTGCTTCTTCTTTTAACCCCTCCATCTCTCTATAAAGCTTTGCTAGTGTTCAAAATTGTACCAAAGAATGGATCTTTTTCAGTGAAAAGTTTAAAACGCACCAAATTTTTCCATGAAAGATTAATTTTTGACATACCTCAGATATCACACATTGAACATGAGCAACATAATCACATTCTGCACAGTAGTAAACTGGAGCCTCTGGATTCCTCTTCTCCTCACAAACATCACAGTAAAACTCATTAGCCTCGTAGAAATCATCTTGGACTAGCAATTTGGTAAACGTCAGTGGATCTACATGACATTCATGATTGATTGTTAGCAGCAGTGAGGGATGACAGTGCACATGGAGATTGAATTTACACTCCACACATAGCAGGAAGGAGCCCCTGCATGTCTTCCCACACAAGTTACAGTCAAAACAGCTTTCTTCTACATCTAAAAGGGTGAGAAGATGCTTGTGCTGATTGTATTTTATGGAGGGTGTCAAGGAGGCACAGTTCACATCCATGTAGAATCTACATTTAGCACAAAAGTAGGTGAAGCCTGAGCTGCTGTGCCCACAAGCACCCAACCAGAGAGTAGGGGTACTGATTCAGGCAGCTTAGCCAGGAGGGAAAGGGTATGTTTTTGGTGGAAAAGATGTTGGATTTCAGGTAACACATTGGTGCAAGATTTGTGTAAAAAAAATTTACATTGGTAGCTGTAGAATGAGTTGCCAAAACACTTATAAGTTGGGCCAAAGCAGATCTTTCCACATGCCTGCAGCAGTTGTTGGCATCCTCCTGGATGAGCTCCAATGGATGTCCGTGGCTAAAATGTTGCATCTTGCCATCAACACCAGTTTCAGACCTCTTGATGGATGCTAGAGCACAGATAGGTTCCATGTCGAACCCACATTTGTGACAGCTGAAGCTCAAGCCTGAACGCCTTTCCCTACAAGCCTCACATCGGTAAGGCAATGAAGTTCTGCGGAGAACAAGAGGACAAGTATGAGAGAACGATTAGAGTGTGCGCTAAGTTGTCCAATCAGGATTTGTGAAGAAGAAAGTAGTAAGTGGTGCACTTATAGGTAATGTCTTAGCCGACTTTCCTACATATACTGCAGGTAGATCCATTTCCTTCTAGGTCAAGTTATATCAATGGATGGAAATGACTGAAATGCTGAATCTGTGAACTTCCTTGTTCAGATTTAATGGTGGATTCCAAGGTACAGTCAGCACCCAGATGGAAATCACAGTGATCACAGCAAAATATGAAGCCTGAGTGGTTTCGACGACAACATCCTTCGCGTTTTGCAGTGGTTATTCGGAGAGTAAGAAGACACTGGTGCAGGAAATATTGGATCTGTTGAGGAATCTCAGAGCAGGACTTGCGAAGGAACAATTGCTGCAACGATAAGGTGAGCTTGATACAATTCTTTCACAACCATAGCAGAAGAGTCTATCTTCATTTTTATCCTCAACAAGAAGCAGTGGATGGTTGTGGGTTGGATGTTTAATCTCCATTGCTTTGTTTCTTTGGATTCACCTTCTCACATATACAAAAACCAATGCTTTGTGATTTTTGATCTCTGCCTCTGCATCTTTTTCTTTTCTACTTCCGAGACAAATTTGCATACTAGGATCAAGAATCAAGAATCATTACATAATTTTACAAATTTCAATCACCATATCTTCAAATTAATGCAATACTGAAAACTCTGAATCAATATTTCCCATATTGATATATATTCTTTTCTTTTACTAAAAAATCATTTCAAGATCACATTTTTTTTTCTTTTTGATATTTTTAAAGATATTTTCTTCTTTTTCTTTTATTCTTAATAGACATCGAAAATTTTCTCAAAAGTAAGCCCACGTTTATGTTTTCCTCAAAACATAGGACTCTATTATACATATATATATATATATATATATATTTTAAGGTTGAGACAAGTAAGAAACTGTTCCAAAAATGTATCTCCGTTTGGGCTTCTCCGAGTTTTTGCTTCTGCTTTGTTCTCCTTTCTGCACCGCACTCCACCAGTTCTGTTGTCGGGCCTGTGAGAGCTCACAGTCCAAGCCCACACCCACGGACAGCCTGGGACCCAAAACGCGCGCAGATCGCGCCATCGTGTACGTAAGGCGCACGGACACTCGTCCGGCCGGGTAGTAAATTCCCTTCTTTTCGAAACCCCTAACCAGCGCGTTTTTCTTATTCTTCCTTTCTTCTTCTTCTTCTTCTTGCGTTCTTCTTCTCCTCTGTTTCTTTTTTATTTTTTTATTTGGTTTTCGGCCGACTGGTGAACGAACTTAGAGGCCGCGCCACTTTCGCGACGCGGTGGAGTAAAGGGCTCCGGCCGAGCCAGCACCTCCAGTGGAGCCAACATATACACTACATGATAGGAGATTTTCGATATGTATAAACATCGATTCTTGGATTTATTTCAAGTTCAAGTCGGCTTTCCACATCTGGATTCGCCTCTGCTCGTCTGCTTTCGCGTTAGATCTGCTCTCCTGTCTCCTCTCCAGATCCCCTCCAGTTTCCCCTTGAGAAACCCGCACGCTTCTTCCAAAACGGCGTGGTTTTGAGCATTTTTGGGCTAGGTTTAGTTGCCTCAGAATTATTAATTTTCATTCTGTCCTGCCTGCTGTGTTATACTTCTCATTTCTCGACTTCGTTTTAATGGAAGCTCAAAGTCTGCTTTGTTTACGCTCAAAGTTCATAATCCCTTCAGTTCAAAATCGACCCCTCTTCGTTTTCTCTACACCTGATTGGGCTTTTTGCGCATCTAACAAATCTTCTGAAATCCCTCATTTTTCTCTTAGATCACGTTCTATACATTGCTTAAATAGCATCAAAGCAGAAAAACCTGGTGACTTTGTTTTCAATGATAACGAATTGAAAACTGAAGTTAAAATGAAGAAGCTAGCTGTTTTTGTGTCGGGTGGCGGTTCCAATTTCAGGTCACTTCATCAGGCTTGCCTTGAGGGTTCAATCCATGGTGATGTGGTTGTATTGGTTACAAATAAGGGAGGTAAGTTAAATTCTCTTTTCTGCTTTTTCAGTCATCTATATATATATATATATAGTATATGATTGTGGGTTTCAGTAGTTTATTCTCTTGTCGGGTTTTTCTCTTGCTGTCGATACCTAATTTTAGATGATTGCTTCTTTAAGCTAGTTTTGTTTTTAAACGCTGTTGAGGTGAAATCCCTTGACTTAAATGGAAATTCAACCGTAAATGATTGTTCGTGACAAGACCAGGCTGTTAAACTTAGTTCTAGTCACCTTTCTCTTGGGAATTCTGTTCTTTGACATGTTTCATATATATCACCCAATATACCAGATTGTGGAGGTGCTGAGTATGCAAGAAATAATGGCATCCCAACACTTTTGTTCCCGAAAGTAAAAGATCAACCCAATGGACTGTCTCCTAGTGAGCTTGTTACTGTTCTTAGGTAAGTTCTCTTCTGCAATTTATTTTTAGATATCTACCTTGTATTTGTTCATGATGTATCGGTAACACTTGGATCCAATTTCCTCAAATTATTGAGTGAAGAAAATTTTGTTTGTTAGGGTCCCTACTGGATCTTGTTATTGGTCTTTCAACATAAAAATAGTAGAGACTGAATATTGTTCTGAGTTTTTCTTCTTCTGTTTACTTTGAAATTTTCTTAGAGACTCTTTAAGAGGGAACCCTTCAGTCTCTAGAGTGAGGAAGTACTCTTAACTTTTAAAGGAATACTTCATTTGTAATCTGTCCCAAAAAGACAGCAATGTTTATGAAAAGATTGAGGTTATTTAAGAAAAAAAAGCTTATGACAAGATTAAGGTAGCTACCTTCCAGTTTTTTTTTCCAGAATTTATCCTAACTACCTCTTGTCTTTAATCTTAGACTTATTCTTACATGTATATTGTTATTGAATATTTAACTACCATAAATAGTAGAAATTTACAGCATAATAACCAAATACATAATTTCTTCCTCCTTTCGTGCACCTTATCAGAAGTTATGATCTGATTTTTGGAGTCCGTAACAGAGTTTTGCAAGTGCTCAGTGGTCTTTGCACTTTTATTTTCTCTTTCCCTATAAGATATGTAATTCAACATCCATGAGTTACATAGATGCCTGAAGTTATGATTGTTTCTATAACCAGGAGATATGAGATTGATTTTATTCTTCTAGCTGGATATTTGAAACTTATTCCATTAGAGTTGATCCGAGCTTATCCAAAGTGTATCGTAAATATTCATCCATCACTTCTTCCAGCTTTTGGAGGCAAAGGCTATTTTGGCATGAAGGTACATAGAGCAGTCATTGCTTCAGGAGCCAGGTAGTTTGCTGCACTAATGTTGCTTTTTTTTGTTTTGTAATTTTTTCTTAATGAGTAATCTAAGAAACTTCTCCACATTTATTTCATTATTATGCTTCCCAAAAAAGAGGTTACAGGTAGATGTTTCTTATACGGTAAATTTCTCCTTCTTTTGGATCAATAGGTATACAGGAGCAACAATTCATTTTGTTGATGAGAATTATGACACGGGACGAATACTTGCTCAACAAGTTGTCCCTGTGTTTGCAACTGATACTGCTGAGGTGTTGGCTGCAAGGGTTCTTCAGGAGGTACTAAGATTTATATTTTAATTTAAACGAAAACAATCTATTGGGTTGGTTTTATAATGATCTTCAAGATTTTGTTGGGGAGATTATCAGGGTTTGTAACTTGTGGTAATTATTGCATCTTGAAGTGACATCCTTTTTGTTTATTTATTTTAGGAGCATCGCCTATATGTGAAAGTAGTAGCAGCATTATGTGAGGGGCGGATAAAATGGAGAGAAGATGGAGTGCCTATAATTCAGAGCAAGCAAAAACCCAACGAGTACTATTAGTTGGACCTGATACAACCATGTCCTCCTGCCTTCTATGGAGTTTGAGGTCATCAATAGGTTAGTTTGTACTGCTTGAATTCTCCCCTGATTGTGCAAAATACGAAAGTGTTAGGCAAACATGATTGTGCCTGCGCTTAATTGTCTTACAACTAGTCTTTCTCTTGGATTGAAGAGTCCAAGATATACACTGACATTTGCCTAGTAGCAGAGATGCGTTACTACTATTAAAATGTGGGGTTTAATATTTTTTTTCCTCGCAAAGTGGTACGATTCATTTTCCCCAACATTTCTAGGCTTTGATGTTCGTTTTATTCCCCTTTTTTATCTTCCAATTCCCCTGTTTCTTTTACTTTGATTAACCTGTCTTCTGTGGTTTTTGTATGAACTTGGCATGAATTACGGAAGCATTCTGGGAATCTGGGTCATGCTTTATATTTAAACGTGGAGTTAGTGTTTTTTCTTTCTTAGATTCAATGTCAAGATCATGTAGGAGTTATGTTGTTGTGTGTACCAGTTGGACGAAGCAAAATGGGATTTGTTTTTTTTCTTTTGTAAGATTCCTACGCGATGGCATTATTGCCGATCTCAAATATACCACAGTTTCGTATGTATCTATAGACTGAAGATGCATACATGTTGATGTTAGTTAATATATATAAATATTCAACATATAGAATATAGGTAAAGATAAAATTTATATTTAAACCAAAACTTCCATGCCTGCACTTTGAAGCATAAGTTTATTTGAGTTCCTTTATAATTAAAGCCTGAAATTCGTTTTAAATATAAATTCAAGCAAATAAAAGGAAATATTAAATATTTTTATTTTAATATAAATCTCTCCCAAATTACTTCTCAATTCATGGGAAAAATTATTGTAAGTATTTTCCAAATTTGTTATCAATTACGTTATTTAAACACCGTAATTTAAGTTGCATAAATATCGCATTTGGAACTGTAACTGTTACCTCACATGTTGATTTGGAGAATATAAATATATACGTATTATTTTCATTACATAACTTTGTTGTTTTTATTATAAAGGAAAAAAAGTTTTAAAACCCGGAGCTTTCTGAAACCGTTATTGTAAAAGTTTTTCTGTTTGATTTTTTTATTATTAAATAATAAAAATGCAATTTTTTTTTAAAAATATATATTTAAATAATTGAATAATATTTATATATCAATAATAATGTATCTTAAATAATTAAGGAAAATATACGACAAAAATAAAATATAAAACTTAATAATAAATTTTTTTAAAAATAAAAAAAAAGTATGCTGAAAAATAATGTCTGCGACAGAGCAGATGGTTACATTTTTCGGCACTTGTTTTATTTATTAGTAGTAAGTGCTTCTTATATTAATTTTAGTAGAAAATTTAGGCTATATTTTTTGTATTAAGCAGGATAAAAGATAAGTAATAATGTCTATGAGCAAAACTGTATGTTTAACATTATGATTTAGTAAAGAAATTAGAAATATCATACAAACTTTTATATATATATATATATTAATTGTAATAATCAATAATAATAATGCTATTAGTAATAAAACAATAATAAAAATAATGATATTAATAGTGGTAGTAACGACAGTAACATTAATAATGACAATGATAATGATGACAACATTTACAATGATAATAGTAATAGTAAACATATTAATAGTAATAGTAATGACAATAATAAAATCAACAATTGCAGCGATAATAATTACAAATCAAAAGTAGCACTAAAAAGTTAAAATTTGATTTTAATATCTTACTTTTTCTATATGAAACTTAACAATTATATATTCTTATTGATATGAAATCATGATATTATAATAGTGATGATAGTATAAGTGATAGAGTGACAATAACATTATTTAATAATGGAGGCCTCCACTTAGATGATTAAAATAGATATTTTATCTTTTTAAAATATTATTATAGTGAGTATTATTACTCCTTTAACTTTTATGAAATGAATAATACTAAGTGGAATCTTATTTTATTTATTAATTAACAATTTTACTATTAAATATTGGGTAAGGTAAGATAAAGAAACAAACTTATCTTTCGTATATATTATATCAAACATAGTCTCAATTAAAATAAAATTCAAACATCAAACAAAATTGTTTTATATTATATTATACTACCTATATGTTCAGTTCATAAATTTGTATACTTAACATAAAATAAAAATATTTATTTTATTAACGAGTAACGAAATTTATAACTTAAAAACTAATTGTATATAAATACATTAATTTTTTAAATAGTAGATATATGCGATTCACAACTGCAAAACACTAATAAATGTTATATTACAGATAAGTTTTTGAGCTTTATTTGTATTTTAAAATGTTAAATTGATTGTCTTCTAAATGAATTTAAATTTACAATTAAGAGTACATATAATAAATTTTGATGAAGAAAATTAATGAATTCTAATTAATTACTAAAGATATTTGTAATATATATATATATATATATTTACAGAAATCACATAAAAATTGAAATACATACAAAATATATGTAATCTTAATATACAAAATTACATATCCAAGACAATCAAAGACTATGCTTTTGATTTTCATAACAAGTTTCTTTTTTTTTTTTTTTTTTTAAAAACAATAAACTGACTTTTTAACCAAATTAAAATTAAAAATTTTGTTTGTAACAAAGTTTTTATTTTTGGGCGCAAACTTTGCTTTAATTTGTTACATCAAAGGAGGAAAAGTGATAATATAAGTTAATTGCACGGATATATCAACAAAAATTTGTCATTAATTACTTTTATCGTATTCTTAAATTTCTTTATTTATCAAAATAAACTTTTTTTTTTCGATTTGTACACGATAGTTTAAGAATATTATCGAGTCAATTTTGATATATTCAAAATAAATTCATGTCTAGATTTAATTCACTCCCGTTTTTGTCAGAAATTACAGAATAAGGGATTTAAACTTGGAAGTTTGAGTTGAATTAGAGGTATGAAACTTGATGAGAATTTAAATGGCAATAGGAGTCAGTAAGGTTTACTGTAAAATATAAAGTGCAGTTCTATTGAAACTTGGGCTGTAGTGAATGAAAATGGAGGCATTCCCCACAAATCTGAATTCTAATATATCACTACGTCTACATATATATGTATATATATATATATATATATACTTACTCACTTTCACTTCGGGACATAAAATAACATGGTTCTGATACTTGGCTAACAGATAACATTGATGATTGTCAGACGCTGAATTTGAATTACAGGCCTTTTAAATCTGCTGTTATTGCTTCCATCCTTGCTTTTACTCTTGTTGCTTCTTCTTTTAACACCTTCATCTCTCTATAAAGCTTTGTTATCTCATTGTCTAATTCTGTAATCCTGGTGTCTGACCTAAAACTATTTGCATCAATCCTCGCTTCCTCAGAAAAGACCTAAACCCACCAACACCCAAAGTTCAAATCACAGTTAAATCTATTTCTTATATCATAATATGGAAAATTGTTCCCAAAAAAATGGATCTTTTCAGTGAACCCCTCAGAAAATACCTAAACCCACAAAGGCCAAAAATTCAAATCACGGTTAAAAATCTATTTCTTATATCAATCATAGTATTGACAATTGTTCCAAAAAAATGGATCTTTTCAGTGAAAAGTTGAAAACCCATCAAAATTTTTCATGAAAGATTAAATTTTGACATACCTCAGAGATCACACATCGGACATGAGCAACATAATCACATTCTGCACAATAGTAAACTGAAGCCTCTGGATTCCTCTTCTCCTCACAAACATCACAGTAAAACTCATTAGCCTCGTAGAAATCATCTTGGACTAGCAATTTGGTAAACGTCAGTGGATCTACATGACATTCATGATTGATTGTTAGCGGCAGTGAGGGATGACAGTGCACATGGAGATTGAATTTACACTCCACACATCGCAGGAAGGAGCCCCTGCATGTCTTCCCACACAAGTTACAGTCAAAACAGCTTTCTGCTTCATCAAAGAGGGTGAGAAGGTGCTTGTGCTGATTGTATTTTATGGAGGGTGTCAAGGAGGCACAGTTCACATCCATGTAGAATGTACATTTAGCACAAAAGTAGATGAAGCCTGAGCTTTCTTGCCCACAAGCACTGCAACCAGACGATGCAGGTACTGATTCGGGCAGCTTAGCCTGGAGGGAAAGGGTATGTTTTGGGTGGAAAGGATGTTGGATTTCAGGTAACAGATCGGCGCAAGATTTGTGTAAAAAGAATTTACATGTGTAGCTGTAGAATGAGTTGCCTGCACACTTATAAGTTGGGCCAAAGCAGATCTTTCCACATGCCTTGCAGCAGTTGTTGGCATCCTCCTGGATGAGCTTCAATGGATGTCCATGGCTAAAATGTTGAAGCTTGCCATCGATACCGGTTTCAGACATCTTGATGGATGCTAGAGCACAGATAGGTTCCATGTCGAACCCACATTTGCGACAGCTGAAGCTCATGCCTGAACGCCTTTCCCTACAAGCTTCACATCGGTAAGGCAATGAAGTTCTGTGGAGGACAAGAGGACAAGGGTGAAAGAAGGACTGGAGAGAGTGTGGTAAGTTGTCCAAGCAGGATTTGTGAAGGCGAAAGTAGCAAATGTTGCACTTATAGATAACGCCTCTGCAGACTTTCCCACATAAACTGCAGGTAGATCCATCACCTTCTAGTCAAGTAAAGTCA